TGAGGTAATAACCCAGAAAAAAACACCCAACCACCCAGAAATCAACCTTCTTCTTCAATCAAATTTCCAGAAATCAAGTAGTTTGAGAAATATGATTTTTGCGGAGAAGCATTCCTTAATTGGGCATCACCAAATATATTATTTTCTGGCCATGCCCCTATCTCAACCCATGATTTCAAATGCCATATACAAAAAGTAGAAGGCTTTGATCTCACAGCCAATACACCTCTACGGGGATTTCAAAATTTCAACAATTGTGACAGTCTTGCAGGACAAAACTGAGGAGATATTGAACACAGTTGAATAAGAACCCAAAACTCGAAACCTAATCCCCTCCAGTCCCAAATTTCCGCAATCACCCACCCAATTCACTCCAGCCCCAAATTGCCGCAACGACTGGGTTTGGAAACTGATCAGCGCCTGCGACCCGATGACGCCATCGACTCGACGTGTTGATGGGGCTGTGAAGCTTGTTCGAAGAGAGACAGGGGGAAGAGAGAGAAAAAGTGAAGAGAGACCGAGGTAGAGAGAAAGTGGAGACGATAGGGGTAAGGAGATGCGGGTGGGCGGCGGCGACGAGAGGGTGGGGTGGGGGAGGGTGGCGGTCATGAGAGGGTAGGGTGTGTCTGGGTGACGGTGAGGAAAAAAAACTTCGCTAAAACTCAATAAACTTCAAGGTTAGGAAGGTGAAAATTACCCAGTTTTGTCTTGGGACTCGAAACCTTTCCCAAGATTGGCGCTACTACATGCGTAGTTATATATATTTTTCCTTTTGATACATGTAATATCAAATACGAAAAATTTGAACACATGACTTTAGGAATATGAATAAATTTTCTTGAACACTTGAGCTATAAACTCCTTTGTGGTTGGGTGTTTTTTTCTGGGTTATTACCTCAGATAGGGTTTGGATGCATTTTTTTTCTTCTTACGATCTTATTTTTATTACTAAATAATATAAAAGTGAAGTAATATAAAAGTAAAGTAAAAGGAATTTAATACAGAATAAGGGTAAAATAGGAAAGGGAAAGAATAAAAATAACCAAATTGATTAAAATGTATTAAAAAATAAAAGGGAGTGTAAGTGTTGAAAAGGGGAGTGGGGAAATCAGCTCCCTATATTTAAAGAGTATCTCTTCAAATAAATGCCTTGCTTGTCTGAAATTGCTGCCGCTTTAGAGAACAGAAATGCCTCCACTGTACTGGCTCGGATTGGCAACTGCTCTGTTGATAGCTGCTTGACATAAACTGGAATCCCTGTTTCTCCAATGGATATGAGTTCACTGGCTGCTGCTATGAAGAAAAGACAAAGGCCCGTCTTTGGCAATGGAGACTCGTTGGCCTTGGAGTGTAACATGAGGCAAGAAGTAGAATGGATGATGAGCAATATTGGATGAATTCAAGATTTTCCTTTAGAAATGGAAACCCTCTGTTTTTTTTTCCTTTCATTAAAAATTTCTTTTCTGCCTAGATAATCCATCCTTTGTAAACTTGTACCATCAGCGGTCTGTGTATTCGTAAATCAGATTGTTTACACACTGGCCCTGGCATGAACATATTTTCCTTTATGGATGTGAACTCAAGCCCAAATGGTTAAAGCCTTCGTTTTATGGTGAGAGACCACTATTGTCACTATGGGTCTCAAAGCCCATATATGTACATTATTTGAAAGAAGCCATAATTTAAGTTTAACCTGGTAATCCATGTAGCACTGCTTTTCAAACCATAAGGCCATCTCCAACCTCCCAGGCCAAATGGTGTCCTGTAAGGTTGGAGAAAAAAATTGTTTGAATTCGGATAATATATAAATAGTTATATTCTGAAAAGTGAAAATTTAGGTTTAGCCATTTTATGGTTGGAGATGGTCTAAGTGAAATGCCATTTGTCTCATTGTTATCTTTTCTTGGTGGCACAAATACGTGTTTATATGGGTATGTTCAGTGCATAAGCACAATTGGCGCTACTACATGCGTAGTTATATATATTTTTCCTTTTGATACATGTAATATCAAATACGAAAAATTTGAACACATGACTTTAGGAATATGAATAAATTTTCTTGAACATTTGAGCTATAAACTCCTTTACACTTTGTAAACTGTTTTTGTTCGGAATATCCTCACTGACATATCCTGTTGATTTAAGTTGCATTTTTCTATCTATGCCTTAAATTCCTTCCTTGTGGCATAATGTGGTATACTATAAAGTCGAGTCCAAGCAAACATATTCTTTGATGAAAATGTGCCGTTGATATTTTAAAAACATGTTTAAGCAATACTTTGTCTTCAAAAGCCGTAATGGCATCTCCACTTTACCATCCCATTTTTCGCTCCCTTTTAAACCTTTCTCTCTCACTTTTGCTTGGTGGGTAGGTGCTGCTACTCTTTGTTTTCTCTTTCTGTCGTTGCTTTGTTTTGATAATACTACCTTGCTCTCCTGTAAGAACTAGCTTAATTAGCTTCCATGAAGGGTTCAACTTCAACAGGTTAGTCGTCCCTCTTTCTTTGCTTTTGATATTTGTAGTTTGATTTTCTTTAGCTGTTAACTAGTAACTGTTTTTTGGAAGAAACCCATAAAATGTTTCTTCAAAAATCTGAAATTGGGCATTTCCAGAAAGTTTCTGGCTTCAATTATGTTTGGATTGAATTTGAATTTCTGTTACTGTTTGGTGTTTTTCACATAGCCAGCTTGTTCTGTTTGTTTGTTTGCATTTAATTTTTGTATTATAGTGTGTGATTCAATTTGGTTTATATTGCTTTGATGTAGTTCATTTAGGCTTCTATTATGCCTTGCATATGTTTGTGTGTTTTTTTACAAGAGAGTAAGATAGCAGTCCTGTAATAAGATAAATGGTAGTGTTATATATGATCAATTCTTTGTGAAGACGCGGTTTCGTTCTTCACCAGGTTTGATCAAAATGAGTAAAGGGGAACAGTGGAAGTTTTTCTTTTAGAAGCTTCCTTCATTTTTTCTTCACCTTCTTATTATTTTTTTGTTTTTATTAGAGGGCTGGAGTTTGTGAATTTGAGGAGATCGTAGAAATTTTTTTTTCCTAAGTGAGAACGTATTGGCTGTACATGTAAGTGAGTTGAAGCTTTCAGTTGTAATACCAAAAGTAATGCAGAATTTGTTAATACCTTTTCTAGTTAGACGTATTTGGAATAAGAAGGTCTGCATCTGTAACTACTTTGGCATTGAAAAACTATCATTAATAAGAAAATTTCGCCACAATTACTCTCCACTATGCCATATCCATATGCCTTTAATGAGAAGATACTAGCTACTGGACCATCCCAAACAACCATTTGACCAGGTTCATCAATAGTTTCACAACTATAAACAGCTTATCATCACTAGCCCCTCTCCACCAATATCATCACTATTATTTTGATCACTAAATAGGTAAATACATAACAGGATATAGATTTGAACTTTCTTGTTGAGCTTAAATTGATTCTTCCTAATGTCTTATGTAAAGGCACATCTCATTGCCCTTATCTGAAGTCGTTATCAAACAAAGTAGGAAGCATGCTTTGTTGTCGTGGTTCAACCAACAAGTATAGCAGGTTGGATGCAAAGCTTGAAAAGAAAATGGTTGAAGTTAAAAGAGGTTCCTTGGGCCATAGCAATTTCAAGTCAATTGACAGCATAATCATGAGGTTCCCTCAGTTCAGGGAGGAACTCAAGAAAATAAGAGATGTCTTTGAACAGTATGGTAAGTTTTGAGGTGTTTGAATTATTAAGGTTTTCACCTTTCTAAGATGCTATCATGGAGATTTACTGAAAGTTCTCCGTATCTCCCTGTCTCTCTCTCTCTCTGTCTCTCATAGATGAGGACTCAAATGGAACTATTGACCTTGAGGAACTGAAGAAATGCTTACAGAAACTGCAACTCCATCTGACAGCGGAGGAGATTGAGGATCTTTTTCATTCATGTGACATGGATGGGAGTGAAGGGATACAATTCAATGAATTCATTGTTCTTCTATGCCTCATCTATCTATTAAAGGAACCTTCATCCTCTCATAATGTAATCACCATAAACTCTATTTTTTTTTCTCTCTTTGGAAGCAAATTTATAATGTCTGTATATTTAATGTCTTGGGGATTGTTTCAGACATCCAAGATAGATTCGCCACAGCTTGAAGCAACTTTTGACACCGTAATTGAAGTATTCTCATTTCTGGATAAAAATGGTGATGGGAAACTGAACAAGACAGACATGGTGAAGGCATTGAATGAGGCTTATCCTTTGGAGAAATCTCCTGCACATGTCACCAGGACTCGATTCAGTATTAATTCGTTTGCTATTATGGTTAAACTGGTATTTTTCCTTTCTTCTATATGGTTTTAAAGTTCTCATAATCCATTTTTGTTTATCTGTGGGCTGTTGCAGAAGAAATGGATTGGAGCAAACGTGGGAAGGTCAGTTTCAGGGAGTTCCTCTTTGCTTTCATCGATTGGGTTGGAATTGACACAGATGAAGAAATGTCTCCAGTACGAAGTTCAAGCAAGTAATGTACAGTTTAGAAATGGGTGCAGTAGCAGTTGTTCAAATGAGGTCAGATTGATACATTTATATATGTATATATTTCTAAAGCATTTTAAGTTTGTATAAAACAGTTTAGCTGTTCTATCATGTTTAGGTAATGTATTATTTTCTTTACTAGTTTGAACCATCTTGTGAATCACTATGAGAACTAAATGATGGACGGTATTTTCACTTTTTCCTGTATCTGCTCTTATGTGTTCTTTGTTTCTATCATGTTTAGGTAATGTATTATTTTCTTTACTAGTTTGAACCATCTTGTGAATCACTATGAGAACTAAATGATGGACAGTATTTTCACTTTTTCCTGTATCTGCTCTTCTGTGTTCTTTGTAAAACAAAATTGGAGAAAATTTTGTATCTGTGGATCATGGAATTAGATATGGCAAGGACATGTACCCATTTAGAGCTATGCTACTTCACAAAAAAATAATATAAAAAAACGTGCAGACATGATCCTCTTTAATTTGTTACACAAAGTCTAAAAGAGTAAATACAAAACTTCTGTGTAAAAGATAAAAAGAGAAATCAATTTCTCCATTACCAGAGCTTTCGGTATATATATATTATCTATTTGTCCCTCTGTTAGGCCGATTGGGTGAGTTTCATTGTATTCCTAGAGCTTGGATCCTCTTGATTAATGACAAGGAAGAAGCATTCATTTGCCTCCATTCTTTCATACTTTCCTCCTTTTTCCCTTCTTCCATGAAGCATTTGTCATTGCCATCAAGTATCCTTACTATCTGCCTCATGTTTGGTCTTAATCGTGGATTGGAGCGTGTACAGCCAATTCCTAGTTTAATCAGTCTCATCATTTCTTTGTGATCGTACGCTCCATTCAACCTAATATCTGCCAGTTCCTCCAATGGTCTTTTGCGTGCCTCAAATTCATGGACCCTCTTCACCAGTAACACCTCAGGCCGTCGAAAGTCTACTGCCATCTGTCCACTAATGATCTCGAGCATTACGACGCCAAAGCTGCATATATCAGCCATCGGCGTTGCTTCCCCAGATTCCATATATTCTGGTGACATGTAACCGAAAATCCCACGAACTGATCTGCTTGTGTTAGCAGTTGCATGATGGCCATGGTCTTTTCGTGTCAAGAATTCAGCAAGGGCAAAAGAACTGAGCCTTGGGTTCATGTCTGGATCAAGAATGACAGCAGAAGAGGTAATATTTCTGTGAATTACTTGCTCATCCCATTCCTCGTGGAGATAAAGAATGGCAGAAGCAAGCGATTTGATAATGCTGTATCTGTGACGCCATTGTAGGATAGAATTGCCAAATCTGTAGTCATGATGGAAAAGCAGGTGACTCAGAAGGCGATCTGCTAAGTAATCATAGACAACAAGCATCTCTCCTTGCTCAGTGCACCATCCACGGAGCTGAACCAGGTTTCTGTGGCGGAGCCTTCCTAAGTTCTGAAGTTCATTTGAGAATCGTGCCCGCAGTGCAGGGCATGTTTTCATGCCAAGCCGCTTCACCAGGATATGATGACGGTTGTTAAGAAAGCCCTGGTAGGCTGTTCCAAAGTCCAGCTCTGCTACCCTTTGAGAATCTGCAAAATTATTTGTGGCAGATATAATTTCCTTGTAGGATATCTCTCGTGGAGTTTCTATCATGGGAAATGTTGATTTTTTCTGACGGAAGCTTTCAGAAGAGCTGACATCACTGTCTACATATTCAGCAGTTGCATAGATGGTTTCTCCAGTGGCTGTGACAAAAGTCGATGAAATAGATGAAATGGTTGTGTTGGTAGTGGCTATTGTGTACCTGGTGTTGGTGCTGCCGTTGTTTGTGCTAGTAGTGGTGGGAGAGGATAAAGTGATGTACAGAGGGTGGCACTGAAATGATGGGAGGCCCGGCAATTTTCCATAAATGTTGCCAGAAAGTGCTTCCACAACCCATTTCATGTTTGGTCTAGATTGCGGGTTGTGAAGTGTGCAAAGAAGCGCAAGATGAAACAAATGCTCCATATCAAAAAGCTTGTAAGACCCATCTGGAATCCTATTATCCCCTGCTTGTAGAAGCTTCCCCTCATCAGATAGCCTTCGGATCCAGTCGAGCAATATGATCTGATCATCTGGGCAAGTGAGGTCAACTGCCCGCCTACCTGACACCACCTCCAGCACAACAATCCCAAAGCTGAAAACATCAGATTTTGCCGTAGCAACACTTCTTTTTTGGAAGCTTTCAGGCGGCAAATACCCAATTGTTCCACCAATTCTGGTCGTCTCTGCCAGCCGAAACTGGTGATCTTTCATTGATGGTGTCTTTGTTTGGTACTCAAGTTCATGTTCTAGCCACCGTGCCAAGCCAAAGTCACCAAGCCGAGCATTGTAATGGGAATCAAGCATCACGTTACTCGTCTTAATATCCCGATGAATGATCTGAGTTTCCAACTGTTCATGCAGATAGAAAAGCGCTGCTGCCAAGCCACTGATTATGTTCCTTCTACGATCCCAATTGAGAGGCGCTGACCCTATATTTTCAGGCCTCCTGAAAATTATGCGGTCAAGGCTAAGGTTGGGCATGTAGTCATATACCAGAAACAACTGGTTTTCATGAACACACCATCCCCTTAGCCGGACAAGGTTCTTATGGCGGAGGTGAGCCACAGCCAATAACTCAGCCACAAAAGTCTTCTCGAATTGCTCTCCTCTCTCCACCAAGCATTTAACAGCAACCACAGTTCCATCACTTGGCAGAACTGCTTTGTACACTTTGCCAAATCCTCCGCTTCCCAAAACTCCATCCTCACTAAATCCATTAGAACCGATATAAAGCTCGGAAAAGCTAAAGATCCTCGGATTGTCTCCTCCAACCTTGTCCTTAAGTTGTATCCCATCCATGTCTTGAAACACGCCAGAGTGCTGTTTCCTTCGTGTACTGTCATGGTGACAGAAATGGATCCATTTCAAGTCATAATAGAGCCTGCATAGTGAATCCTTGATGAAAGCAAGAATATGACTTGTACAATAACCACGAGGATTCTTTTTGATCTCTTCTTTTGTGGGTTTCTGCAGCTTTTCGCAATCCAGCGGCTCGATTTCATTGAAGTCAGCTGGTAAAACGAAGCAGAGACGGTTCAGCTGCATGGCGACGGCGGTGGTGGCTGGAGATTATGGCTTGGAGAAGGACTAGTTGGACATGAAGGAAGGTGGTGAGAAAGATTTGGAGAATTTGGGTTTGTTTATAACATGTAATGTCAAATTGTCATGCTCGATGCCTTTGTGGTGCGTTTATTTTATCAACAGGCTTAGGTTGCATGGTTGAATTGAATGTATCAACCGCCCAATTGGAACCTACCCCCCTTACTGATGTCATAAAGAAGATTCTTTAAGTCATCTTTTCTGGAACATATACAAACTTCCACGATAATGTTTTCACGTGAGAGAACATATTATCTTTTCATACTTAGCCTTGTAAAGCGCGTGGGGACATGCTTCATCTTCGGCTTCTATCATGATGTTAATTATCAAAAAGGGACCCAAATTGCGACCCCCTTCACATTAATTAATCCCCAAGACTTTAATGTAAAACAAATAATATTAAAAAACAAAAGTCTAATCGCCGTTTAATTATTCTCAGAATGAGACACGCTTACAGCTCGCCTTGTCTCTTTTTCATCCCATCTAATCGCCGTTCATTAGCTTTATGTAAAACATTTTTTCAAAGGGAAAAACCCATGTATGTGAGTCGTTTGTTTTATTTATGTTGATAGCTTGATACTATTTTTGTGGTAAAAACGATCTTGTGTATTGGGTTTATGGCTAAACGCTAGGATTTCGAGTTTTTATTTATTTTATATATATAATTAAAAATGGAAAAGTTTAGCAATCGCTCTCGAAGCTACAACTTTCAATCTCGTTTTAAGCCCTTTAAATATTTTAAGACATGCTAATTTATTTCTCACCGTCAAAATTGTCACATTTCTGTTATTTTTTGCTAGCAAGCAATGTCTACTGAAAAGATAAAGAATAGCCATCAATTTGAAAGAGAAATTGACAGATTTAACTACATGAGACAATTTGGAGCGCATACATGTGGGATGCGAGTCTCCAAGATATCCCCTAACATATCACATCTGGATTAGCTGTGGTCCTCTTTGCACCTGACCTGACCTGTCATCACAAATCCCAAATTGCCGGCAGAAGAGAACCCATCCAATTAGGCAAATTACAAACAATATTTGGCGTAATTGAAAGTAGAAGCAAAAAAGGACGTATGAATGACATCCTTGTTTACTAGACTAACCATTAGTGCTTTGCCTTTATGGATGGCAGACAATTTACATTGAGATTAAACAACATTGAGATTTTGGCCAAATGGGTTTTGTAATTGGGTCAAATCAAGCATCTTTCTTAATATTCAAGTCATTAAGAAAAAATTAAAAAAAAATGGATTTAGTTTATGCAAACACTGAGCTATATATAATATAAATGAATCACAACTGAAGGCGCAATCGGTGTGGATAGGTAGGGATAAAAGTCAATAGCAATGGGACCATTTGAGGGTGGCAAAAGTTTATGCAGATAATTTAATAAATAAGTGAGTGGGTTTTGGAATTCATGGTAGTTTGTGTTTGGTGATTGGGTAACCTAATTTTGCGGCTGTTTCTAATATGTCACAACTTCTCAGCCTCTTTCTTTCTTTCTTTTGGTTGAACCTAAGACCAACAACCTCCATATCAGAATATGTGTATAAGCTAATTCGTATTTCCTTCTCATGGTTGGAAAATGTCTAAGTTTGAATCTTATTTCTTGATTATTGGATGATACTCCTAAGGATTTGGGGTGGATACTTTGTTGTAATTATTTGGAGGTGATGTAGTACCTTTTTACTTTGGCCGGATTTTTCTTTCTCGGAGATTTTTTTTATGGTTAAGGTTTTTTAACCTTCGTGTGCCGTACGTTGCTTCGTTGAATGAAAATGCTTCAGAATCCATAAAGCTACAAAATGATGTATAAAGATTTGGAAGTTGATGACCACGAGTTACCACCATATTGCATTCTCTAAAAGTACGCAGAATAAAATGAATGTTGAAATATTGCAACAAGCTGGCTGTTAATGTCCAGACAAAGAGAGTGGATGGGTTACAATTGCTGTTCAACTATTTTACTAACAACCTACGAATCACCCTCAATACAAATATTTGTTAATCCTTCTAACTGCTTTGCCCAAATAAGTCCATATTTTAATGCCAAAGTTTCAGCTTCCAAAACAGAGACAAAACCCAAAGGAATTTGCACCTGCAAGTTTCATCTGGCCTTTGCAATTCCTAATAATGAATCAAGCAGCTGTTCTTC